AAAAAAAAAAAAAAGAAAGCTGGTTACAGGTCTGAGGGAGTCTAGGAAGAAGGGAAAATAGAAGGAAAAGAAAGGGGGGAGGGCAGGACAAGTTTGGGGAAAATCCAGTGGCCCAAAATCCCAGTTTCCCACCCACAGCCCAGCCCTTGGAGTGAAGAATTAGATCAGTTTTGTACAAGAGTTTTTAAAAAATCAAATCACAACAAAGCTGGCTTGGCTTTTCTTTGAGCCTCCCGGATTACCGAATGTCTGTCTCATTCTGGCCGGTCTGGTCTCTCCACCAAACAGTTCGGGCTCTCCCAGGCCTCCGCTTCTGTCCCAGTCTGGGGTTTCCAGGGAGCGCGAACTCGAAGTCAGAGTGAGGCTGCTTGCGAGTGTGGCCCGTGTGTCTGTCCAGACTCCACACGGAGCGCAGGGCTCCCAGGGCAGAGAGGGGCGGGAGGGGCAGGTCCTGCCCAGGCAGTCCTCACCATCGGACAGGGCATCAGACGGCATCCCGAGAGCTCACCCTCCCTCTCCCCCCCACCCCAGCGCAGGTGGAGGGGGAGCAGCCGTCACCAGAGCCTGTGTTGGTGAAGGTTTCGGCTCAGCACAGAACGAACGTCGGCGGTGAACCTGGGATGACAAGATGAAGCCTCGTTGGAGATGGGGGGGGAGGAAATAATCACCATTCTCACATGACACTGAGGTCCAGTTTGCCCAAAACCCACTGGCTACAGGTGATGAGCTTTACTGTAAGAACACCTGGGTTCAAAGGCTAAGTTCTTAAGGGAAAAGGGTTAAGTCAAACAGGACGCGTTTTTATTCCCTCTCGGGATCCCCCACCTCCTTTCCTCAGCAATGTGTCTGGCTTCCGTTACCTGAGGGCGTCCAGCATGGGAAGCAGGTTGAGGAGGGCGGTGTCGCTGGGGTCACTGAACCACGATTTGATGGGGATGGCGTTGTCTAGGGTGGGTGAAAATAAGCGCACGTGAAAAAAACCACACAATTCAAGACTCAGGCCGGTTTTTCTTTCCTTTGGGAAAATGGGGATCATTACTTTAAAATCCGTACCCTCTCCCTGACCCACCCAAACCTAACCACCTAGGTAAACCTTCCTATTTTATTCTCCAAAACAAACTTTTTAAAAGAGGCATTCATATTCATGTCTATTTGAGAGATGGGGGTGGATGCGTGAGTGGGAGAAAGGAGCAGAGGGAGAGACTCGCACGCAGGCTCCACGCTCAGTGCAAAGCCCGACACGGGGCTCGATCCCATGACCCTGGGATCGTGACCTGAGCCTACATCAGAGTCAGACGCTCAAATGACTGAGCCACCCAGGCCCCTCCCCCAAGGTAAAATTAACCTATAATCACCGTATCTCACATTAACGTGAGGCTTCTAATGAAATTTATTGCTACTGTGTCTCACCTGAAGCAAACTGATACGAGCAACGTGACCTATGAAGTGGACAAGTGGGGAAAGGAGAGTGTCTCCCAGAAACACCTGGCATCCTGCCCCACAGTAAGCCAGGAACCCCAGCTCCAGGCATTCAAAATAACCTTCTCAGAACCACTTCCTGGTCCTGCCAGACTCACCCCCACCCCCCCGTACCTGGGTGGCTCCGGTAGGCCCCTGGGGAGTTATCCAGGATCACGATGCTGGAGAGGTCGCTGTGGACCACGGAGAGGTCCTTGATGTAGCTGCCCAGTTCCAAAGTGCAGTGCTGGAGGGTAGGGCCACGCTGGGCATCAAAAGGAGACTCGGCCCCTGTGACGGCTGCCCAGTCCCAACAATGCCCACGAGCAGCCACCTCCCACAGAGGGGGTCATGCAGTACCCCTCCGCTCACCCCCCAGAAGGTCCCTTTCTGGGGAAACTGCTCAAACCCAGACCCCTCCCTGCCAGCCTGCCTCCCGAGCCTCCTCTTACCTGTCTGTAGTATCTCCTCTTGAGAATGCTTCTGCTATTGTCCAGTTTATCTGCCACAGCAGAGCCGTAAATCTCCATGCTTGCTGTGAACACCACCAGCTCGTACCACTGGCTCACCTGAAATTGATCAGGGGGAGGGTGGGGTCAGAAGAAGCGATCCTTCCTCTGAACCCACAACTCTCCTTCACTAGACTCCAGCCCGGTCCTTCAGGCCTTTCAAGAGCATCAGATGTCTCTGAGAGCACAAAATTCTGAAGGCCCCCAAACTCAAGAGTCTTAGGCCCCGTACACCCTTAAAGATTCAGAGGTGCA